CTCTCTCCCCCTCTCTCTCTCTCTCTCACTCTTTCTCTTCATTTTGTTTCTGTAGATATTACTACCTGTTTTTTTTCTTTCTTTTCGTCTGTTAATTATTCCCAGATTTATATACTACTTTCATTTTTTTCTCTCTTTGGCTTTTCTATTCTCTCTCTCTCTCTATCATTCATTCATTCTCCTTTCCCTCTTCGTATCTCTTATCCTCTCCCCTCTTCACCATTTTTTTTATAATTACTTTTTTCTTCACCCTTTCCTACTTTCTGAATTTCTCTCCTTACCTTGTCGAAAAAAAATAATATCATTTTGATCTCAAGTATGATAAAACTACTGATGAAAACCATATTCTTAGCTATTTTGCATTTTATCAGATTAGCCAAGAACTTTAGCCAATACTCATTCATGCGTATAAATGTACTACGAAGTATTTATATTAATTTTCCTCGCTATTTTCAACACAATTTGCTGGTCAGACTTTGAAAGTTTGATAATCGCATATATGTACTTTTTTTTTTTTTTTTTTTTTTTCTTTTTGCATTATGTATTTTTTTTTCTTTTCCCCCTTTTTTTTACATGGAGCTAATTCTTTTATATCAATTTATATGTAAATATTGAGTAAATGAATTGATTAAACTAAAGCGTCGTTTTCTTTGATTCGGGAATAATAACAATAAAAAAAAAAAAAAACAGGAAAAAAAAATCAAGGAAAATGATAATTTTAAAATCGACTTTCACATCGATATTAGATACAAAATTTATAACAATATCCACGCTCTGTTATGAGATACAGACCATGTTCATCTTCAAGTTGAACATTTTACGTGGTGTTATTTTAATTACTATTTATCTCTGTTGTTAATTACCCAAGACTTGCCTTTAAAAAACTTGTCCTGTGCGTTTGATTGGTTCATGAAGTTATGATGAAAATGGTTAAAGACTTAAAGTTTTGATAAAGGTTATAATTTTCTGAGAACTTTCGTTGGCGGTGTGTTCCATTAGCAGGATTATAACTGTAATGATGTTGATTGTGAAGAGATTTTTATATGCGTAAATTTCTCTATCTTGTGAGTTTATTTGTCTGCTCTCTCTCTTACGTTTACTTTTTTTTTTCTTTCTCGTTATTATAATGATGATGGTAATAAAGAACAAAGTAGGAATTAAAAGTGTTTCAGCGAAGCGATGCTTACGTCACTCATTGAAAATACATAACAAAATGGAAATGTACTACATTTCAATTGTTTCCAAGTGTCACATCATTATTTTCATCATCACAGTTGTTATTTCCACCATCATCACTATTTCCATTACGATCCGCTACGCTATCACCATTGGACCCAACATCATCAACACCACTCACCACCACCACCCTCATCATCACCACCATTACCACTTCATCCCGTCCTCATCATCACCACCACTATCATCACCACCACCATCATCATCACCACCACCACCACTATCACCAATACCACCATCATCACCATCACCACCCTCACCACCACCATTACCACCTCATCCCCGCCTTCATCTTCACCACCACTATCATCACCATCACCACCACCATTACCACCTCATCCCTGCCCTCATCATCACCACCACTATCATCACCACCACCATCATCATCACCACCACCACCACTATCACCAATACCACCATCATCACCATCACCACCCTCACCACCACCATTACCACCTCA